CCCCTCTTCATCATGAACCATCAAAATAGTACTTCCTCTGATTCAATTTATGTGTCTTACTTTCTTTTTTGATTTGTTTCAAAAAGAATGTCACTTTCTATATTTAGTAACTCTTCAATTTCAACATTTCACGCATTTTGAAACATTACTCACATCTTTAATTTAAGGCCAAGGTCACAAGATTCATGTCTCTCTTACTTTCTTAAACTTTGTGCCCACTCAAACTAAGACACAAAATGAAATGGAGGGAGAACTTATTATTCCCACTGAAACCGAAACGATCGAAGGAATTGATTCATAAAAACTTACTCTTGAGATGCTGAAAGAGGTGATCATTGATGAATCTTGAAGTCTCAGGGCCACCGTGCCCATCATAAATTCCAACAAAGGTACCATATGGCCCAGAATCATGCAAGCCGAGGCACCCGGATTCAACTTGGCTTTGATCTTCCAATAGATTATTAGCTTGAACTACAGCCATAGAGAAGCCTCCATTAAAATGTTGCCCTGTATCCTTATACCATAGCAGCCCATCTTGACGTCCACCACCGACATCTGAGCCAGTTGTATGAACGTGTCGATTCGCCCTTGGCTGAAAACAAGCCCTTAACAAGTTCATTAACCCAGATAACATACCTCATCTCCTCTAAACCACCATCCAATCTCTCCAAATCTAACACAACACTATTAAACCTTTGGATTCTAGTAAATCCTCAACTTTGCATATGTTCCTCCTCAGAGCAATAATATGTTTTTCTACAAGTCTATAACAATATAATCATCAACAAAAAGTAAGATGAAGAAAAGAATATAATTGCCAAGAAAAACACAATACTACAACGACAACAACAACAACAACAACAACAAAACCAGTGTAATCCCACACGTGGGGTCTGGGGAGGGTAATGGGTAAGCAGACCTTACTCCTACTTTAGGAAGGAAGAGAGGTTTCCGATAGACCCTCTGACCCAAGAACAACACAATCTTAAAAGCAAATGCACATCAAGAAGCAACATTTACTTTGATACCTAGCTAAGAATACTATGAAATAAAGGTACAAGGTATCAAATATGAAAATTCAATTCTACTTCTACTTAAAAAGCAAACACACAACCAAGAAAGTGCAAAAAAGGGGAAAATTCAACATCAATAAAAAAAAAGGGTCAGCTTCACTTTTTCAACAAAGAACTGTATGGGCAGCTAGTTTGCATCCAAAAGGTGCAATTTTTACAAAGATAAAGAAAATTTACATTAGACAAATATAAGGGAAAATAAGTTCTTGAAAAAGGAGAAAAAAAGAACTGACCTTTACAGTGGAAAATAGAATAAGATCTGAAAGTGAAAGAGGGGTTAGATCTGTGGATCCATCAAATCAAAGTAAACCTAAAGTGGGGTTTTTTTTATTAATCTTTTTTTGTTTGTTTTTTTCTCAAAGGATGAAGATCATGATGAAGTGAGGGAAGAAAATACATAGAAAGAGAGAGTGAAAAGGAGTGATCAATTTGGAGTGTTAGCTACTTATATTTGTTTCTCAGAAGACAAAAGCATAATATAAACCAACAATGGAGAGAGGAGCTTGAAGCCAGCAAAGCAAAGGACCAGCTTTGGGCTCCACACTACCCCCACCCACCCCTACCCCCTACCCCTATCCCTTTAGTTTTTAGGTTAGAGAGAGAGAGAAAATCTAGTCTAGAGAGAAGAAAGTACTAGCAAAAGACACTCCAAAAGAGTCAATGAGTTTTTCTGGATATAATATTACTTGGAATTTCCAAGAAATATCCTCAGGCAAAACCTTGGCTGGTTATCAGAATATTAAAACAAAACATTTATTTATCCACCTATAGTACTCCATCATGTGTTTTCTTTTTCTTTTGGTGGTGGAGGTGGAGTGGTTCTCTCTGTCCCTTTTGTTTTTCAATCGATATTGGAATTCTAATTAATTTGAATTCGAATAGCGTAAAAAGAAATTTTAGGTCTTTTTAAGTCGAGAGTCTTTGAAAATAGTTTCTTTATATCCTCAAAATAAGAGTAACATCTACATACACATTATTTTTTTATTGAATCATTATTATTGTTGTTGTTATTGTATCACATAAAACTTATTAAAAGCAGAAGTAGAGCTTAAATGTGGAAAGATCCTAATTCTTACCTATTTCACCACAACCTTTGGCGATGGATGTTTCTCTCTTGAATGTGTACAGGTATTTATTTTAGCGTTGTTTCGTTTGCTCATTATTCTTTTGCCTTCAAATACTGGATGTGTAATAATATTATAAACTTACTGACTTAAAATCTTAGTGGAATTAAAAAAGTCATATCAAACACACCAATTTCATTTTTTTTATGTGTAAAAATAGCATGGGCTAGCCAATTTTCGGACTGATAATCATAAATTAGCCATCGTTTGTAAAGTTATCAAAAATAGCTACTATTTTAATTTAAACATGAAAAATTCCAACATATTATACTGGATTATGAAATTTCTGCGTATAAACTTCCAGCATACTATGAAATTCCAGCACATTATGCTTGAATTTTTTCGGAAGTTTAAGGGTTTTTTTGTTCAGATTTTATCTTACATAAAAATGACTAAATTTTTATTACTTTTGAAATTATGGCTATTTTTTAACTGCTAGCTGTAAATCAGGCTACTTCTGATTTCTTTCATGTTTTTTTAAGCACGAACTTAATTAAAACTCTTCGGTATTTCAGATTAAATTACAAAAATAGGTAGTTAACTTTTAATGAATATTACTTTAATAATTTACGCTTAGTACTTAGTAGTATAAGATGAGAATAGATGATGTGATTACTCAGTGTGGCATGAAATGTGGAAGTTTTTGTTACAATATTTCTATTAAATGGTAAAGTTGTTGAATATTTCTAGTTTTTTTTGTTTAATTAAACATTTAAAATGCGTAAGAACAATTTTGAGCAGTTGAAAGTGATACACCTGCCCACAAAAATAAAATTATTTTTCTTTATCTATTCATTTGCTTTTTTACCCATAAACTAATTACATTTCCTACTCATAGTAATTTTTGTGGGAAATTTTTCTTTATTCTCCAATTCTTTTTTATTTTTATGCTTCTTTTCTTCTTCTTTTTTCTTTTGTTTTCTTTTCTGCTTTTCTTTTTTCTCGTTTTCTTCTTATTTCTTTCATTTTTCCTTTTCTAATTTCATTTAACTTCTTGTTTTTTTATATTCTTTTTCTCTTCATAATCTAATTTCATTTACCGTTTTCACTATTTTTTATTATTCTTTTTTTTATACAATAAGAAAAATAATTGATATAGTAAATATTTGTTCATCTTTTTTTAATATAACTGGTATAATATACCTTTTTCTCATTTTTTAAATTCAATTATTAAACTGAAATAATATCAGTTGTCACTTGATCTAATATACTGAATATCACATTGACTGTTGTTGAGCACCATAAATTACATAATCAGATTCTAAGAATCAACACGTGATTGCCATGCAAACCTTGATCTCCTTCCCTATAAATATCAATACACACTTTACCATTAGCAGTAACACAACCAGTTATAGAGCAAGAAAACATAATCTACGGCAACCAAATCTCCATATATACTAGTTAGGATAAAATGATAATAAAATATTAAAAAATACAACAAAAGTATAAGTAGCGAAAAAGACTTCTAGTACCATGTGATACCAATATGGTATATATGTATACCAACAGAGCATATGAATTCTCTAGAATATTGCTACAACTATCTGCGACTATACTACTCTACCAAAACATTAAAGGACTCAATAAAAGTATGAGAAAATTACATGCTCGTATTGCAATCTAAATATTCGCAAAACAACTTGTTCATTTCGTATACTAAGAGGGTATATAGTTGTATGGGGTTATTCCAACAATTGCTTATAACTATAAAAACTATTAATACACATAATTTATGTCCATCGGCACTCAAAAATTCCAGCATTATTGCAACTCATGTTGATATAAATAATTTCATAATAGAATTCACTTAAAATACAGCTAAAACAACCAAAACAATGTTCAAACTACCATATCATACCAATATGGTATATAACTATACCAACATGGTACACAGTTTTACTAGTTAATTCCCGATAACTATATGACTATACTACTATTACATAACACACATGCATAAAGAGAAAAATAAAAAAATAGTGCACCACATATTAATATAATAAGGTATTTCAAGATATTGTACTATATTACTATTATTAAAAGAAAATCAAATATTGTACCAATTAAATGCAGCTAATACAACCAAAAAATAATTCAACTAGCATATGATACCAATATAGTATATATCTATACTAATAGGGTATATAGTTGGAATGAATTGTATACTAAAACGATATATTTGTATACTATTTGGGTATACAATACAAATTCGTCTTCTTCTCTGATTCAACTATATTTCAACCCAAATTTCTAAAATTTACTACAAAATCTCCACCAAATTGACTAAAACTTTAGCTACAACCTTCAGTCAACTTTCCAAACTAACCCATACAGGATCAGATCAAAACAATTAAAAACTCAAATAAACCAAGTTATGAGTTTCAAGCTTCAAGGTCCGTCAATGGTGAATTTAAATTTTTGTACAATAAATCTCCAAAAATATGTAACTTTTATCTCTTAAGAAAGCTATAGAAAAGAGATACTAAAGAAGTTCAATGCCTATTTATACGAATGCCTCAAGTTCGACTGCATGCCAATTTTCTCTTTATAAATATATAAATTTTACTTTGTCAGGAACAAAATTAACTAATTGAACAAAAAGCGAATAAAAGAAAAAGAACCAAAAGGAAGAACAAATAATAGAAGAACCTAACTCGTCTTTTAGACTAAGTTTTGCGTGAAAAAGGAATCTTTAAAATTGGAGACTCGTTATTATTTGAAACAGCGAATTTTATTATTGAAATTGGATTGGAATTTCTTTTAGCAATAAGCTTTACTCCTGATTCAGCTCACAGTTACAATTATTAAACCATTTGGGCGGGTAAATAGTATTGATTGCATCGGTAGGAAAAGTAAATAGTTTAGGTATAGATATTTAAGGGTAAATAATTTGAATTTAATGGGTATAAAATGAGATTATAGATATTTTGTTATTTTTGTGCGTGTTTTGATGACATAACCAAAAAATGCAAATGATGGGAAAACAATTAGCAGTATTTAGATAAAAAGACTTTTTGACGTACCAATTGAGGACATATAATTGGACTATTTTCCGTTTACAATCTAAACTATGATGGGGGAGAAAAGGTACACCCTTAAACTATGGAAATACGGTCATAATGAATGAAGAAATTTGCGTAATAGATGGAAACTATGTAAGGCCAATATTAATCGTGTATCTAAATAAAGTTATCTCTGTATGACCTATAAATTGTTGGTTCGAACCGTAGAAGTCGTCATTAATGCGTATACTAAAATAGGTTGTTTACACCTTTAGAAGTGTGACACTTCCCTGCATAAATACAAAATGTATTGTACATCAGGCTGCCCTTTATCTAAATAACTATACATGGAAAGTATATAGTATTATATATCTTAACTCCTTAATTATTTCCTTTTACGGAGAAGTTAGTTTTTCTTAGTAAGGTTGGAGGATATTGGACAGGGGAGGACCACATGGAGTCAAGAGGGTTCATATGAACCCGTTTCATCAAAAAATAACACTGTATATGTAGATATATTTTTTCTGTCTTCAAAAAGCAAAGGTATAAATATAATTTTGAACCAACTTTATACAAGTAAATTGTGTAACCTATTGGTAAAGAGAGTTTAGATTTTCCACATGATCCTGATTTCGAAACCAGCTAGTCTCATATGACTTCCATTTTTGTTTTTTGAACCCCCTTGGTTCGCCACTGATATTGGATGTTGTATAGTACTACTTACTCAAATTCTTCCCATTTAATATGACAATATTATAGTCAAAATATTAAGTTTTAAATTATTTTGATCCTCGTTGAAACCGTTTTTTTTTTCTTGACTGGAGATTGTAACTTCTGAGAGGGGTCAATTAATACAAAGACACTTTTAATACAATGTAATATGGTTGGGAAAATATCAGCTATGTTCATTTATAAGTAGTTTATTACGAAAATTAACCAATTCATAAAATATTATTAATATTAGTCAATTAGCTATTTGTAGCAAAAAAAGGGTTAAATTTTTGCTTTATTTTGAGTCGGTGTTACTAGAATAGATTGGATACATCTTAAGGAACTTTAATCTCGGTTTTGGGATGATTTGGTGGAGTTTTGAGGTGGTTTGAATTAAAAATTTGAAGTAGTAGATGAACATGAAAAAAATTATATGTGTATCATATTTGTATCAAATGTGTATCACATGTATATTCATGTATACGTGCGTGTGAGATACATGTGTGATACATGTTTGATATATGTGTCGCTGAAGAATTTTTTGAACTCAATTTTAACTACGAATTTTAATACTAAATTAGTCCAAATCACCTTCAATCTTCATCAAATTTTGTATATTGACTCATCTATATGTTTTCAACGAATTTCAATCA